TCACATTTTCGTTGATAGATCACTATGTCAGTCACCTTTGAGTTATATATATTTTGATGTCTACTTATATATGTATCAATATCTAACATTAAATGAATTACCACAAAAAATATCATATTTGTAAATTATAACTTACTTCTATTAAAAATAAAGTTTTGATTAAAAACAGTACCTATCTTTTGTTCCAAAAAGTTGAGAAATGTCGTAAAATATCCAATTAGCAGTACAACCCTTCTTATTTGAGTTAAATCGGCACTTTTAAATTAATTAAATTTCAGCTTTCTTAATACCCTAAATCCATAGATATCGGAGTTACTGTTGAACAATTATATACATTTCTAATTAATGTTGTATATAATTTGTGTTTTAAAAGTCTTCTACATAAAATGTCAAAACACTTTTTTTCTTTATAAGAAAATATATTTTGATTTTCTTATACAGAATCAAAGTATAAATATATTTATACTTTGATTCTGTATAAGAAAATAAGGTATATCGTTATCTGTTAATATCTTCTACTATGATTAGGGCTGGTCAATCCTCACACCAAAATGGCAAGCAATTATTTGCCATTGAAATGAAAGAAGAGGAACAATTAAGAGGTAAAGTTTGTGAGGTAATTTCTGGATCTACAGAACCGATTTTGAGAATTCTATTAGTATTATGTAGCCTACTTAACGAGGAAACTATAGTTTATACGCTATGATCAATAGGAGCGAAGTTGAAATGACAAATGTAGCAAGAACCTAATATATGATGCAGACAAAGTTGCGCGGATCAGCTAGTGTTAGAAAGTATTGCAGACCTAGTACAATACTGGATGTAATAAAATTTTGTAAATTAGCCCTAAAGACTTTAGAGTGGATTTTTCAAGTTTCGTAATTTTTCGAAGTTAATGCAATATTGTAATATATTAGGTGTGATATATATCGATTTGTAAATCGCAATTGGATGGCTAAATTCTAGGTACAAAATGACAGGGAAGTGAGTAAATGTTTTATTTCGTTTAAGTGAAAAAAGTACTTGCACTTCTCGCACTACGACCTACATAAATCTATTGTGCTTGCCCTGTTGCAGAGTCCTCTACTAAGACCCGTTGGATAATAATTGAAATGAATAATATTCTTTGGAGTGATTGTTCTATCTCAGGGTACAGTGCGAATAACCACGCATTCCTATGCCTATCTTATATATAAAATTCTCGAATTACATACACCTCCGAAACGGTTTGAGTGATTTTTACGAAATTTTGTATGTATAAAAAATGTATGTTGGACTCCAGTCTCCGCAATTAGCCTCTCATTCGGGCCGTTGTGCCTGCTTTTGTATGTATATTCAGTAGGTCTGAGAATCGGTTACTATCTATTTTTCATACCCCTAAGTAATAGGTTATCTACCTTTAACTTTTTTTTTTATTTTTTAGACAATTTATTTTTAAATTTTTATAATGTAACATTAAAAATACTCTATGTATATACCCCAAATTTTCACCCTTCTGTGATCAACCCCTATATAACGATTTTAATTTATATGGTAGGTGTACCCCTAAATTTGACCCTTCTATGACCAACCCCTATTTTAATAACGATTTTAATTTATATGGTAAGACAACGTTTACGGTGTCAGCTAGTATATCTACACCTTTTCCATCTGTTTCCAAATACAGATTATTATTTGCTCATAAATATTCCTCTCCGTGCAGCTCTGTATTTTCTATATTCCGAATATTCTCTGGGAGTGGCACTCGATGGTAAGTGGTGAAATTTCAATTAAAATGCATGTCGCACTGCGTCGCCTGATTGTGACAACCCTAGCGTTTTATTTATATATCGATATATCGTATTATTAAACTAGTAATGTCTGTAACTTCAGGCGCTTTTAAATTAAAGACGCCATCTAGTGATGATGAATAATAATAATAGATCTATACCATATCTATTGTTATAACATATACTATCAAGTATTATTCTATTTTCATATAACAAATAATTTAAAAGGATTATTATTTCACACCTTTCCAGCAGTGGACGATATAATGATGATGATGATGATCTGTTAAAAAGGCATTATAATTTCTCCCGTTGATTTTATGCGAAGTCTTTGAACACACTTAAACATAAAAATGTAAAGTAAGAATAAATATATTTAAAAGAGCAACACGCAAGTTTCTTGCTCGTTCTTCTTGTGATGAGACAGGTTTCCGAATGAGCGGTAGATTAAAAAAATGTGATGATTATTCAAAAGTGCTTCAATGTAAGTTTATTTGAATAAATGATTTTCTATACTATTCTAGTTCTATTCTACAGTATTTGTATATAACTGTTTCTATATATGTATAGTATATGTTATTATATATGTGTTAACATAATACGTAAAAATATAGATTCAAATATGTTCATCCACTCTTCTCAGTTCGAAACTAAAAGGCGCTGAGTTGTTTAAATCTATATAAAAACTAGCTTTTGCCCGCGGCTTCGCTCGCGTTAATTTATCTTTTAAGAATGGAATTCGTCAAAATCCTTTCTTAGGGGATACCTAAGTCATAGTAGCTTTATGCATGCAAAGTCACAGCCCGATCGGTTTGAAATTGACAAAGTTTCATTCAAACTTTCATCCCCTATTTTATCCCCTTGAGGGTAGAATTAATCAAAATCCTTTCTTAGCGGATGGCTACGTCATAACATCTACCTGCATGCGAAATTTCAGCCCTATCCGTCCAGTGGTTTAGGGTGTGCGTTGATAGATCACTACGTCAGTCACCTTCGAGTTATATATATTTAGTTTAAGATCCGAAGAGTCGGAAAAACGAAATTTGTACGGTTATGAATTTCGTTGAGTTATATAAAATTTCAATAAAATTCGTAGGAGCGCTGCAAACCGTTCCGACTTTGTTTTATACTATGTAATGATAAAGTAGCAAGTTAAATAAATGCTTTTAAAAATATTACTAACAGAGCAATCTTTAACTCTACAAGTATAAGTGGAATTCTGTTTATCTAGTATCTATAGGTACATATAGAATGTTATTGAAAAAATATTTCGTACTATATAAATAACAGTTAAATAAATGTTAGATATCTCCTCTAAGAATTCGTTTCACATTCTCGTACAAAATAAATTAGATGCCCAAATAAAAGCTTGTTTGAAAAGGATGCGAGTCAATGCCTGGCTGCTGAATCGATATTTCATTCTCGCGGACGGATTCGACGCGGACTACGGACTACTTGTGGATGATAATGGAATGGTGCACCCTCCTGTGCTAACGGTTTACGCTGCCGGGGCACCAGTAGAGGATGATAAGATGAGCATGAGGTCAGGACAGCTAGCCCATCGTGGTAAATTCACCATCAGTTTATCACGATGGCTTCCAGGAGGAACTATGTTTATATCAATCTAACATGGTACATTGCTAGCAATGGGATTATTTCATAGGTCACATTACTAATAATTTCCTTCCCCATAATGCGGACTATTGTCCCTAACAATGTACCATATCCAGTCTAACTTGGAAATTATCTTGGTGAACTCCTGGTGAATTCGCAGCAATGGGCTAACTGACCTGTCTTTATGCTCATTCAAATATCCTGCACTGATGTCCCGCGTATATCTTCAGCGCCAGCGGGCGGATTTAATCAAAATATATCATTTAATACATAATATTTAGTATTTCCATTAAAATTATTGAAGACTCTCCGTTAAAACTCTTAGCAGTTGGAGTAAGTTCTTAGTAGTTCAACTGATCGGATCAAATATAGCCGATTGTTCCTCAAGTTATTCGTGTCGTGTCGTGTCACGCGCATCAAATAGTTAAAAATCAGATATAAACAGTTCTCGCTATTTTGCTTTTTATGTCAAACTGAGCTGAAACTTTTAGCTTTTCGAATGCAGTGCCACGATTTTACGAGTAGTGCCTATAAAATATTTAAGCGGAATTGTGAACTGTTGGATGCAACTGACTATAACTGTGTATACGTTAGTGATAGAATAGCAAATAACTGTGGGAAAAGTGTAATATTTAGTATCAGAGGTTTTATAAATTGTACTTGTAAAAATAAAAGACATTAACTGAAATCAAACCAAGTAAAGTTTAAAGCCTTAGATACCCTGTTTGTGTATATTAAAGTGTAATTTTTCCTAATAGTATTGCAGTTGATGCATTTGAGTTGATGAATTATAACGAAAAGTTTGCTACGTCCGCGTACCCCCTTACAACCCTTTTTTTCGGATTAAAAAGTAGCCTATGTTCTTTCTTGGAGTCTAAACTATATCTGTACCAATTCTAAATTAAATCGGTTCAATAGCTTTGGCGTGAAATCGCGACAGACAGATGGTGATTATGATAGTATTATCTAATCTAAGTTAGAGATTAGATATAAATTTTAAAACAAAATTATCATTATCCTTATAATGCATGCAGTTCGTCAATGACTAGGTAAATATATGTAAATTAAAATATGCTTAAAGTCAATACCTAAATTACACAAATTTAGTCAAAATGCAATGTTTCGTTTTCCAAACAGACTGATTGATCAAATGCCAAGGTAGGTCATTTACCTACTGATAGGAGAAGGCCTGTCATTGAAACACACATACTTAAAAGTGCATAGTTCCAAGACTGTATGAAGAAGATAATCATAGTATCAATACCACTTTATCACATTTTACATAATACCTTATCTGAGACTAATAAAATACGATTTACAATGTGCAATAAACAAACATTTAAAAATATAATATACTCTTTATTAAATCACGTCGAATATAATCCTACCGATATATTAATAATAATATTTAAAAAATTTAGAAGTATCACTGTTTACAAGCCTGCATACAATTATATAATTTGTATTGACTTTTTAGATGCTAAAACAAGTACTGAAAAGTAGTTTAAACTATAGAACAAAAAAATCTTGATAGTAACATCTTCGGGTTTGTAATACATAGAACAATATTTATACTCCTATTCAATTATAAAATATTTGTTAGAGAACATAATTCAATAATAACAAATTTAATTAAATTGTTGCATTTTTTGATCTTATCCGTCATATACAAATTTAGGCTGGTATTTCCTGTAAATATCTTCCCAAAATTCTACTTCTTCTCTGTCCGGAGCTGTGCCAGTCGACAGTTCATTGCTGATGTTCAGGTAATCTTGTTTTTCTATTGTGTACGGTGACCATGTTACACCTAAGCTTCCATCAGGTGTCGGATTCCTAAAAATATATTAGAAACAATATGAGATCTAAAACATAATTACTCATTGAAGCGACCACAAATAGTATCTAACTTCTGAATATTACAACATATTTATTGAAATTAGTTTTGTAGAATATGAATAAATATATTTAAAGATATAACAATGTTTAAATGCAGTTTTTGAAACCTATAAATTATAGCTGTACTCGTACAGATGGATTTATTAGCTCCATCTATTGTTGTCTCAAGCTAAGCTTGTGTTATGGGTAGGTATAAGACAATTTTAATATACTTAAATACATTTTTTATATACATTGCAAATGCATCAAAAGCAATATGAATAGAGATATAACGGTCAAATCATTTTATGTTACCCGTACTTATGTATCTATTATTAGTTCTGGGCCATAAGCTTTTTCAATGCAAGTACAGAAATGTACAATACCTTCTCTGGCCAGTAAATATTATGGAGCATTAATCAACCCATGATACGAGTCGTTACAAGTGAATATGGCAACCTTTGAATGCACCCTTCGACTAGTATTTTTATTAATAGGTATTTTAATTTTTCTTGTTATAGATACTCGTACAGTTAGATTTATTAAGTGATTAGACAATTAATCTTACCCATATTTTGCAAAATTAGTCCATAGTTGAGTAAGATTATCAACAAGTTTAAAGGTTTCTGATGCTTGATCGAGCTTTTGACCAAGGAGACTAAATATTGCAGTCATCGGGAATAAGTATGGCAAATCGTCTGCATGGCTAACTACAGGTCTATCCCTGAAAACATTCTCCCCTCCTAAAACTACACCAAGAATGTTTCTTTCTGATTTATATCCAAATCTGTATAGATATACGGTGTTTTTACTTGAACTTTTACAAATTTTGGCCCATTGGATTGCACCATATGCAAACATATCCATTGAGTAATATTTAATCATTTTCTCCTTGAGACCTGTCGTAGAAAGTAAGTTGTTTCCAAAATAATGTTTTCTTAATTTTTTTCCAAGTTCAATTTGCTCATTTAGTAAACAATTTGTTAGTATAGGTTTAGGAATTAAAAACTCTAAGAAAGTATTCACATTATCTTTAAATTCATTAAGGTTACTTAAACCAAGACTAATTACACCTTCGTCTTCGGTATATCCAACTATAACTTCTACACCATCATTTATTCCATTGCGAAGTACGTCATTACTATCGCCATAAAAAAATCTTTCATTATTACCAAATTGTTTTTCATCCACTATACTAAATGTAATATGGCCCGTCTTTTTAGTGCTTTCGATACTTGTTATTGGTATATTGACTTGAACAAGTGATTCTACAGGCACGCTTTTGAAGAACTCATATAACCCCTTTGGATCATCAGATTGGTATCCGAGCCTTTTAGCGAAAACAAATGCTCTCTCAAGTGGTTCACTAACATTTGACCAGGGACACAGTGTAGTTCCACTCTGTGCAATAGCTCTCTTAAAAAGACCTTTAGACATCGGCGATATTAAATGGTAGGAGACGCTGGCACCACCGGCACTTTCACCGAAAATTGTTATATTTTCAGGATCTCCACCAAAATTACTAATGTTGCTTTTAACCCATCTTAGCGCTGCTACTTGATCTTTCATTCCCGCATTGCCAGGAACTTCTTCCGTATCAAGAGACAGGAAACCGAGTACTTCCAGTCTGTAGTTGAATGTGACTAGAATCACGCCATGTCTAACTAGAAATTCTGGACCGTATAGATCATCATTGCCACTACCCGACATGAATCCTCCACCATGAATCCACACCATAACTGGCAGAGGTTTAGATGGTTTAATGTCAGGCGAGTAAACGTTCAAATATAAGCAGTCCTCGCTACCTGGTATTAATCTTCGCATTATCATGTCAAATTGATAGCATACGGGCCCAAAATTTTTAGCTTCTCTAATCCCTTCCCACGGCTTCGCAGGTTGGGGTGCCTGTAAAATATTAAAGTGTTATAAGGTGTGGATTTACCGGTTCAATTTTGTTTTTTCATTTTCTCTACACCGTTCCTTTATCACTACACGTGTTTGGTATTAAGAAATTATTTATTAGTATTTCGATTAATGGCGATAATAAATCAAAACAATTACTAAGCAAAATATTAATAATAGGTAAATTTTTCCTCTCCATTGAGGACTAGTTATGCCCGGAATTTCTTAAGCGGTATTTGTAAATAATAAAGATATAGATAAGAATAGACAGTTTTTCAGTCACGGTAAAAGAAAATAAGATGTTGATAAAATATATAAATCACAATTTTGTGTTTATTTCATTTTAGAATGTCCAATTATTTTATTTTATGTATAATTATCCGATTTAAGTCAACTGGTCATGATCTATTTATGGTAGAATTACAATTATTGTAATGATATAGTATTAAAGGTCGGACTTATGACTTATTTCTTAAATAAAGTTACTAGCTGAACCCGTATACGTTGTTTTGCCATATAAATTAGTAACGCTATAAAAATAGGGGTTGGTGGTAAAAGGGGGAAAATTGGGGTTGTATGTATTTTTTATATATTATAGAAAAATAAATTGTGTCCAAAGATTAAAAAAAAAATATTAGGGGTGGACAACCCTTATCAGATTCTCAGACCAACTGAATATGCACATAAAATTTCATAAAAATCGGTCAAGTCGTTTCGGAGGAGTATGGTAACTAACTTTGTGACACGAGAATTTTATGTATAAGATAATAGAGTCTTTTATGTACATAATAGGTAGTTAGTGACTGTTTTTTCACGTTAGAGAATCTGAACAAAATCGGACTTAATTTAATTTCAGATATTTCTATATTTTATTCTGAATTCTTAGTGCTCTTATCAATCATGACTAACGGAATATCTGAAAGAAACAAAAATATAGACACTTTACCTTGAATCTAAGATTTCCAACAGGCGGTTCCGCGTAGGGTATACCTTTAAATGAATAGTAATTCCCTCCATATTCATTATTAACTAATGCTCCTTCTAATACACCATCATTTACTTTAACTTGAACCATTTTAATATTCCAACAAAATTATGATTATTATTACACGACGCTGTTACCCAAAACTCAGATGCCGACTACATTACAATTGTTGATAACGATTTGTAGTTACTGATTGCATTATCTCAACTAAATGTTGTTTTTATAATATTTATCCACGATTTATCATGTGTTAAAATGATATGATAATTAGACACGTAATCTTTATTAATAGAGTAGAAACGGAATTTGTAAATTAAAATATAACAATAATAATTAAAATATAAAAATAAATAATAACACTCGTTGATAATAAACAGCGCCATCCAGTCCTAACGTAAGCAGAGCTCGTGTTATGGGTACTAGACAACTGATATAAATACATATTTTTTTTGTAAATACATAATATACATAGATGACACGCAAGCCGATACAGACAATTATACTTATGAATACAAATGTTTGTACCGTTCGAGAAATCGAACACGCGACCTTCTGAAGTAAGGCGGTGAGCTAAACCACTAGAGCACCGAGGTCGTAAATATATTATGGAAAGTTTATTATGAGTATTATATTGAAATTTTATCCTTAGTTCGTTATATATAAGGTGTGTATTGGTCTAAGCAGTTGTTATTCGCAACTATTTTGATATAATTTTTCTATCTACAATAAAGGCTGCTTGCTGAACGTATCAGAATTATAAGATTTAGATATTAGAATTTCAATCCTGATTAGGCGTAAGATAAAAGAATACCATACATAAACAGTTCAGAATTCAGGGCGGATATTTCATATACAATTAACTAGAACTAGGAACTTGGTTGACAGCCCAAGATTTCCTTTGTTTTTTGAGATAAAACTTGTAGATAAAATTATGTCCATCTTCCCGATACAATCTATTTAAATGTCAAATTTCTTTAATATCCGTTCACCCGTTTAGTTATGTAAAGGTAACAAACAGACAGACGTAAACATACTTCCCAATTTCTAAGATATTATAGTATAGATAGCGCTATGTAGGTAGCGCTATGTATATATACATAGATAGATAAAAAAATTGTATATTTGTACACAACTGGAAAGATGACTTCAACCTGACTATAAGACCGCTCTGGAATAGGATTGTGGAAGACAGCTCAACGGAGAGAGCTGCAGGAGGCATATGCCAAGAGGCACCGAATTGCAGGACATTTTGTAAACCACAGAATGTATCCCAACCTTGGAAAAAAAGACTTTGTTATTATAGTATTATAGACTATTAATTGAACATACATATAGTTCATATACAAACAGTATATTACAGAATATTTAGGCCAATAAAATTGAATATGGGAAAGAAGCACGTGTGTGACACAGCAATACAAAATGGCTACTAGCTCAGTGTAGATAATCACTCAAGGAGAATAATACTGATTTTCAGCTATACACGACGGTGAGTACCGTCGTGTATAGCTGAAAATCAGTAGTTTGTATACTATTTAAAAAACTGAACAATAAAAAAAAATAACAAAGGAACTTGAAGTAGGCGTTAAAGATTGGAACCTACCAGAATTATAAAAAACCAGAATTAAAAATAAAGCAAGTATTGTAAATAGTTGATTATTTATTAATAATTGTCATTAAATCAAATCAAAACATCTTTATTCATCTAGGTCTATTACAGACTTTTATGATATGTTACTATTTTTACATTCAATAATGTGCTTAATAAACTAATATATTTGGTTCAATTTCATAGTTGATGATTTATTGTTTTAGTAATTATTAGCATTTTAATATGAGGAAGAGAGAGGCTTATCCCTTTTGCCAATATTAAAATGCTAATCAAATCAAAATATCTTTATTCATGTAGGCCTATTACCGACTATAAGAGTCAAATCATTCAATAAGGTACTTATTAAACTAAAATAATTGGCTAAAATACATCACACACAAGATAATTTTATGTTCTATAATAATTGAGCTATTATAAGACAAACAAAAGTAAAATTAGATGAAGAAAGGGCATGCGTGCGTTTGGTCTAACTCCACTAAAGTACTTGTATGAGACAGCCATCGGGTCAACTCGACCCCCAGCCTCTGACCTAGTTCCGTGCAGTCCGACCTTTAAACACATTCGTTGGATTAACGATAAATTGCCACGGGCCTAGGCCTGACGATAAAAAATATCATGTCTGTAATCCAGTGTTTGGTTATCGTTGACAACGATAATGTAACAATCTAAATATATATAACTCAAACGTGACTGACATAGTGATCTATCAACGCACAGCCCAAACCACTGGACGGATCGGCCTGAAATTTGGCATGCAGGTAGATGTTATGACGTAGGCATCTGCTAAGAAAGGATTTTGATAATTTTTTTTTTATACTACTATGGTGGCAAACAAGCATACGGCCCATCTGATGATAAATGGTTACCGTAGCCTATGGACGCCTGAAGCACCAGGGGTGTCACGTGCGCGTTGCCGACCCTTAAGATTATAATAATTCCACCCCTAAGGGGATAAATTAATGCAAGCGAAGCCGCGGGAAAAGCTAGTACATTACATATACAACGACTGCTAGAAACAGCATTATTTCTTGTTTGGCATAAAACAGTTATTATTATTAAGATTATTACAATTAAAACACCGCTAAACCATCGAGGCCGGGTTATATTACAAATATTTAATTTGTTTTTAACATTAGTTATGATTTAAAATTAAAGTTTTGTTTAAACAGCTCCGTCTGTATAAATAAACCTTACTCAATTTATATTCATTTGGAATATATTTGTTTGAAAATTATCATCAGCTGATTTTCACGCCTATTCTTCTTGATTAAAATTCCAAAGTGCATTGGTTGTAATATAAAAAGTGCTTATATCAATTTATCTGAATAAACAATATCTAAAAATAAACTTTTATATCTTTACAAAGTATAAAACAAAGTGGAAGGCGCTGTCTGTTCGCTTATATCTTTGAAATTACTCAACGGATTTGATATAATGTTCAGTAATAGATAGAGTGATTCAAGAGGAAGGTTTATATGTATAATACATGCGTGTAGTATAAAACGAGCCTAGAAAATCAAAGATTTTAATAAAGCCGGGACGGGTCGCTTGTCAATAATAATAATAATCTCAGGATAATACAAACTGCGCCATCTAGACCCAAGTTAAGCTAGCTAAAGCTTGTATTATGGTACTAGATAACTGATACAAATACATAGATATATTTTTTCGTAAATACATACATATTATACACAGAAAACATCCAGACATATACCAACAATCATACTAAAGAGTACAAATGTTTGTGCCCCTGCAAGGAATCGAACCCGCGACTAAGGAATCGAAAGCGCGAATTAAGGCGGTGTCCTGGACCGCTAGACCACCGATACCGTCAAATACAATAAAATGGAAAACTCATCTTAAATCTAAGTTCACCCACAGGAGGATCAGCAAAAGGAATGCCTTTGAAACTATAATACTCTTCTCCAAAATCATTCTTCACCACTTCACCATCTAATTCACCTTCAGTAACAATAACCTGCACCATTTCAACTTATATGTCATCTACTACACAAGTGTACTTACAGTATAAAAATGACGACTCAAGACTAGGGATGGTCAGCATTATAGAACTGCTAAACATCGGTATATTATCACTTCTGGTTTTTTGACAGTATTGAGCCACAAGATGGCGGTGTATGAAGTGACTCGGACAAAAATGGGATCATACGAGCAGTCAGTGAATGGAATGGACGACTCGTAAGCATGTTTCCAAAATATTTCCACTTTATCATCATCTAATTTCATATATATTTTTTATATAACTTCCATTATGAAATTCAGTGTATTTTCAGATCCTGTTAATATAATCGGGTTTTAACACGAAACATTCTATAAATAAAATAAATGTAGCCTAAGTTACTTCTTATAACATTCGTTATCTGTGAGTGGAAATCCTATTAAAAACGGTCCAGCCATTTAAAAGACTAGTAGAACAAACTGCTAGATCCTTCAACATTTTTAATATTATATATTTGATGTAAGTACCGTATTTACTTACATAATTATGCATTTTCTGACGAGCTATTAATTTGAAATTAGTTCTCCATTTTCAGTTTTTGTCTTTTTGACTGATACTTTCATGTTATGAAAGTATCGATATGAACTGAACATTAATGTAAAAATATCGATATTTTTGGACTAACCATCGATGTTTATCATCCCTACTAAAGACAGTAATGACCGGCCTTGAACTGAGACGAGCAAAACAACCAAACGACTCAACATTACGTGTATTTATGTAATTTCAGCATTATTATCAACGTATCCATTATTCTCTGTTACCACCAATTTGGCTGGTAGATAATAATGTAAGGTTTCTTAAGGGTTGGCAACGAGTACGTAGCACCCCTGGTGTCTCAGGTGCCCATAGGCTACGATAACCATTTACCATCAGACCGTATAATACTAATAATAATCTTAGGACAATTCACACAGGGCCATCTAGACCCAAGTTGAGCTAGCTAAAGCTTGTGTTATGTGTACTAGATAACTGATACAAATACATAGATTTTTTTTTAGTAAATACATATCTACATATTATACATAGAAAATACCCAGATCGATACAAACAATCATACTTCTGAATACAAATGTTTGTGCTGTGCGAGGAATCGAAGCCGCGACTATCGGACGTAAAGCGGTATGCTACACCGCTAGACCACCGAGGTCGTAATGCTTGTTTGCCATCGTAGTAGAATTGAGGGTGACGAAACTGGAATCGAGTCAGAACGCGAGTTTCAAGGCGTTTGTGGTCCGAGTTACCACCAACATGCTGACCACCTTTATGAAGGAGGACTACTGGCCGTAGGGTGTGGTGTATCGGCGCTACCGTGGCAGATTGCCGTCATCAGAGCCGTATACAGACAATTAGAAGCCTGAATTAAAAAAAAAATAAAAAAATTGGCAGAGTTGTTAGTAATATACCAGTTCAAAAAAATTCAAAATATCTTTATTCATGTAGGTCTATTACAGACTCTTATGATATGTCAAATCTACCGTCTAAATGATATCGAGATGAGAAGAGCTGACAAGAAACTCAGCTCGTATTTTTTTCAAATAATAATGGAACATGTTTATATATTTAATACA